ATGCCACGGCACTCTGTCCAGGGGGACAGCTTGAGGCTCTGTCTCAAAAAAAAAAAAAAAAAAAGAAAAAGAGATCTGGGAAGAGGAAATGAAAGTGCAGTGCTGGCACATAGTTCAGGCTTAGTAAATGTGTTCCCTAGAGCAGTATCCCCACCAAGAGCTCCCCTGCACTTACTGGGGTCACAGTCATTGATGTCCTGATTGCAGGAAGGGCCAGTATATCCACTATGGCAGGTACAGCTGAAACTCCCTGCCAAGTTGGTGCAAGTACCATGGGAACCACAGGGTGAGGAACCAGCACACTCATCCACATCCTGTTGGCATCGTAGACCTGGGGTGAGGAGCAAAGTAACACCTAGGGTTAGAGGGTCCAGAGCCTGATCTGAGAGGCCTGGAGCTTGGGAAGGACCTACAGGCCAAGACTGATGAATGAATAAGCCATGCAGTCATTTGCTTCTGGGCACTTTGCACATGCTATTCCCAAACTTCCTTCTCCCTGTATCAGAGGATTTCTTCCAGGAAGTTGTCCCCAAACCCTTAGCCTGAGTACTAGTATCCCCAGCCCCACATCCCTTCCTTTTCCCCAGAGCTAACCACATGGGCTGTGTCCAACTTTGTCCTTTCCCAGAAAGAAGCTCTTCCTCTCAAAAGCAGAGCAGGGGGTGTGTCCCTCTCTGGGTCTGCAGCATTACCATGTACGGAGCAGGGAGCAAAAGAAGTGAAAAGGAGTGGGGAGAAGAAGCTGGTGTACCTTGCCAGCCAGGTGGGCAGGAGCAGACAGTCAGCTGGCCAGGGGCAGACTCACATTGGCCCCCATGCTCACAGGGGTTTGGAGTGCAGGGGGACAACAGCTCACACTGACGTCCTGTGGGGGAACAGAGTGAGATAGCCTTGAGAGATTCCCCATTCCCATCTCCTTCCAGAGTCCCTGCCTTCATACCCACCTCCCAAGCTCTTGAGAGGATTGAGAAAAAGTGAAAAAGAGGCAAACGTAGGGGAAAGAGAATAGAAAGGAAATGAGAGGGATAAGAGTGCTAGGAGTCTGGGGTGGAAAGATAGGGAACACACCCTGGACACCAGGAGGGCAAGTGCAGTGGAAGCCCATTCCATCGCTGGTACAGGTGCCACCGGCCTGGCAGGGCTGGGACTCACAAGTGTCTCGGGCCAGGCTCTGGCTGCAACGGGGGCCACTCCAGCCAGGCTCACACACACAGCGAAACCTGGCAGGGGAGGCAGTCAGGGCCAGCAAGTGGGCCAGGGAGAGGGATACAGTGTCAGAAGTTGAGGAGGGGCCTCACCCGCCAGGTGCATCATGGCAGACGCCGTGACTGCAGGGTTCATAGGCACAGGGATGGCTTGGGGGAAGGCAGAGCGGGGGCAAGGAGCCCAGTGGGCAGAGGCAGCGGAAACCATTTTCTCCATCCACACAGGAGCCTCCATCGCCGCAGGGGCTGGATGCACACTCATTGATCTCCACATTACAAAGGGGCCCTAGGAAGCACACAGGCAATCTCATCCCAGGACAAGGCTGATGGAGCCAACTGGAGAGGGATAATCTAACCCATTTAGGGCATCTACACCCCTACCAAGGACAACTTCTTTCTCATAATGCATCAACTCTAATGCAAATTAGGACACCCAGGTCCTCAACCAAGAGCTGCTGTGCCCCAGACCAACTTATGAAGTCACTTTTTTGTTTTTTGTTTTTTTTTTTATGAAGTCACTTTCATTTCTACCAAAGATTACTTTAACCCTACTGAGAGACAACCCTGTCCTTGAGTCTGGACACTATTACTATGCTGCAGAATAATAATCTTGTGCTAAAATGCGGACAATCTCATGCCAACATGCTGAGAGAGCACAACCTCAGGGCAAAACATGGACATGCTCATTGGAAAAGAATGTCTAAAGATAACAGTGAAACTCAATCTAGTGACTTCACCCTCACTCTATAAGGACCCCTTCTTCATGGCAGTCACTTGCCCACCTGTGAAGCCAGGCTGACAGACACAGTCATAGCGGTTGATGCCGTCACGGCAGACTCCAAAGGTGCAAGGATTACTGGCACAGTCATCTATGTTCACCTCGCAGTTCACCCCTAGAAGAGAATATGGCAAGGGGTAACTACCACGATACCTCAAACTCTCTGTGCCCCTCCAGGTGTGCTGTTCCTGCCCCAGCCCCACCTGTGGTGCCAGAAGGACAGCGGCAAAGGTACTTGTCCACCAGGTCTAGGCATTTGCCCCCGTGGCGGCAGGGCTGGCTGCGGCACTCATCCACCTGGCTCTCGCAGCGTGTACCCGTGTAGCCTGGTGCACAGGCACATGAGAAGCTGGCAATGCCATCCACACAGCGACCATGGTGGCATGGGTCTGGAGAGCAATCATCCACGTTGCGCTCGCACAAGGTGCCCTCAAAGCCTGCGAGGACCAGAAGGTCAGGCTCCACCCACTTGCCAAAGGGCTGCCCACAGCTTTGGCCATGGCCCAATCCTGTCTCAGCCCTATTTCAGGTCCAGCCCATCCGGAGGCGGGCTAAATTCAGGCCCTACCCCTAGCTTGCCTCCACTCCGCTCAGTTTCAAGCGCTAGGATTCATCCCGGGCCAAGACTCTCCCACAGTTAAATCTCACCCCCAGCTCTGGCCCCGCCTCCAGCCCTAATATGATCAGCCCTGTTCTGCCCTGGCCTGCACTGGCGATAGGAGCACATCAGAGATGCCTGGGAACGTAGTGAGGACTAGGCCTAACTCTTAAACTTACACCTGTAGCCCAGACTCTTTGGCCCCACCCCTATGCTATAATACATCATTGGCTCCACCCTCAGACTCTATCATTGGCCCTGCCAGGATCCCGTCTTGCTGCAGCCCCGCCCCAAGCTCTCCTCCAGTCTGTTATTGGCCCTGTCCCCACTAGCCCCGCCTCCAGATTCTTGCAGACTATAATTGGGCCGCCTCACCCTCCGCGCAACGGCACTCATAGCCATCCGGTTGGTCCACGCACTTGGCACCGTTCTTGCAGGGCGTGCTAGCGCATTCGTCCACGTCTAACTGACATGTAGATCCACTGAAGCCTGGTGTGCGGAAATGGAATAAGCGGAGGCCCAGAAAGGGTCAGAGTAGTAATCTTGCCATCCCTGCCTTGGTTGGGTGGGAAAACCCATTTACTTGCATCTCAATGTTTTTCATAATATATGATATCTTTTCTTTCTTTCTTTCTTTCTTTTTTTTTTTTTGCAGTTTTTGGCCAGGGCTGGGTTTGAACCCGCCACCTCCAGCATATGGGGACGGCATCCCACTCCTTTGAGCCACAGGCGCCACCCATAATATACAGTTTCTATAATAAATTATCCACTAATGTGGTCTTAAAAGGTCCCACTCTAGAACCTTTGCATAGACCCGTTTTAAGGCTCCCTGTCTTAGGGTCCTCACCCGAGGGACAGGTGCAACTGAAGCCGTTGACTCGGTCCTTGCAGACCCCGCCATTGACACAGGGGCTACTCTGACACTCGTCGATATCGACCTCGCAGTAAGTTCCTGTGAAGCCTGGGGACAGAGGACGGAGTTTAGGACAGTGGGAGGCTACCCTTTCGTCTGCAGGGGGCTCACTGGAGAAGGTACTGCCCTTCCAACTCGCAGATAGTCTTGGCCCTACCCCCAGCCCAACCTTAGAGGCAGTTGTCAGCTATAACCTGGACCCTCACCCAGCTCTGGTTTCAACTGGTCCACGGCTCATGAGACTGGACTCCATATGGACCTTGCTTCAAATCATCTGTATTCTTTCCCCACTCCACAAACTATGCCCTGTCCTAGGCCCCAGCCCCAGGGCCCACTATAACCTTGTGCCCAGCCTCAAGTTCAACATCAGCCTTAGCTCAAAGTGGCACACTCCATCTTAACCTCACAGCTGCCCTGCCATCCTGTCATCCCCTTCCCCAAGTGGATCCCAAGTCCTAGACCACTCCCAAGCCATCTGAGGCTCCACTGATTCCATTTGATCACCTTTCACACAAGATTCTGCTGCCCCACCCTCACATCCCAAGCTTCAGTCTCTAGGGGTCCCACTCCGAATTTAAATTCCACATCCCAAAAAATAAATAAATTCCACCCATCCTTCTCCCTGCCCCATCTCCCCATAGGGCTTCTCTCAGGACAGGCTCCAGCCACTTCTACCACACACCTGCCATGCAGATACAGGTGAACTGGCCTATGCGGTCCAGGCATGTGGCCTGGTTTCGGCAGGGTCCTGACAGACACTCGTTGACGTCAGTCTCACAGCGTGGGCCAGTGTAGCCACGGCCACACTGGCACAGGAACGAGCCCTGTGTGTTCACACAGCGACCCAGGTGCTCACAAGGGTTGGCACCTGTAGGACAGGACACAGTCAATGTAGGCATGGCTAACTGAGACTCTGCCTCACCCCTCATTCCCAGATGGTCAGTGCCCCCCTTACCAATGGAGCACTCATCCACATCCTGGTCACATGCTCCGCCCGTGAAGCCAGGTGGACAGGTGCAGATGGCCCGGCCATTAACCGGGTTTGTGTCACAGATAGCATCTTCGTGACAGGGGTTGCTGACACAAGCATCATCCAGATGACATAGAAGGCCTGAGAAGTAGTAGGCAGAGGTCATGGACAGATTCTCCAGCTCTGCCCAAATGTCCCATACCCCTCTCATGTTGTTCTTTGGTTTTATTAACCTGAAGTGTATTTAGTAGCTGCTTTTTTTATCCATTTTATTCATTTATCATGAAAACCAATCAAACATCCAGAAATGTTAATCATTCATATACCCGCCACTTTCTTTTCTTTTCTTTCTTTCCTTTTATTTATTTATTTATTTTTTTTTTTGAGACAGAGTCTTGCTCTGTCACCCAGGTTGGAGTTCAATGGTGGGATCATAGCTCACTCCAGCCTCAAACTCCTGAACTGAAGTGATCCTCCCACCTTAACCTCCCAAATTACTAGTATTACAGGCATGAATGGCCATACCCAGACTACGTACCACCTAGTTTCAGCTATTATTACCTTAATCCATCAATCCTTATTTTTTTCTGAACTATTTGGAAATAAATTCCAAACATCCACATGTGGTTTTAAAATCTATTGATTCTTTTTTATTTTAAAAGAGTCCTACCTGCAAGCCTTTGCTTCTGCAGTACCCTGTGCCAGCATGCCCTCCTTCCATTTGCAAGTCCCCTTCCTAAACACTGCCTCTGACCTTTGCCACTTCCAAAGGTCCCCTTTCTTTCTTGGTTATACTTCCCAAGAGGATTCTAATGGCTTCTGTCCTGGACCACATGTCAGCCTCCTCCCAGGCGTACCCATTTACCCCAAATCCAGCCTCCAGTCTAATCTAACACTCAAGTCAGACTCTGTCTTTGCTCCCACTCAAGAACTATCAATGGCTCCCTGCTGCCTACAGGGAAAAAAGCTACTCACCAGTCTTGCCCATGGGGCAGGCACAGTAGAAAGAGGCAACGCGATCATGGCAGGTGGCCCCATGGAAGCACACGGCTGTAGCACAGTCATCAATATTCTGACTGCAGCTCTCGCCTGTCCAGCCATTGACACACACACAGCTGTGGCCACCCAGTGTGTTGAAGCAGGTGCCACCATTGTGGCAGGCGTTGGGCTGCAATTGACACTCATCCACATCCTCCGTGCAGAATTGGCCTGTGGCACACAGAGGTACCAATCCAACCACTGGGTGTATGACAACCCAAGGTCTGCCATCCAGCCCCCTTCAGCCCAATTGCCTACCTGTCCATTCAGGAGGACACTGGCAGTTGTAAGTGTTGACACCATCCACACACGTTCCCCCATTAAGACATCGGTGTCCTGGACAGTCATCCACATTCACTTCACAGTTCTGGCCCTCAAACCCTAGCATGGGAGGAGGAGGGGAGGATAGTTACTATTAGGTTGGCCTGCTGAACCCACCCCTACCTGAGTAGACCTCACTTACCAGGAAGACAGGCACAATCATAGGTGATGTCACCACTTTGTCTACAGGTGCCCCCATTACGGCACGGTGAGGGAGCACAGGGCACTGTGGGGCTTTCGCACAGTGGCCCTGTGTAGCCAACTGGGCACTGGCAGTGGAAGGAACCAGGTGTATTGAGGCATGTGCCACCATGACGGCAGGGCCCAACCACCCGGCACTCATCCACATCACTCCGGCAGCTGCGGCCCTGGTAGCCAGGTGGGCAGGAGCAGGTAAAGCGGCCATCAGCCCCCACTGAGCAGCGGGCACCATGGGCACAAGGGCTGCTGAGGCAGGGGTCTGGCAGAGAGCAGTCAGGACCTGGAAGGACCAAGAGAGGGTGAGCTTGGGACTGACCACACCCTTGGTTGCCTGGGATTCTCCTCCAGATTCTCCCCTCACCTCGGAATCCACGGGGACAGCGACAGGAGAACCGGGCACTTCCTGCCACCACTGAGCTCTGGCAGACACCACGGCCAGCACAGGGGCCCGAGTGGCAGGGGTCTTCCAGTTGACACCACTCACCCACCCAGCCTGGTGGGCACCTGTGGGCAGAAATGGCTTGGTTCAGGTCACACAGGGAAAGATGTACTCAGATACAGACACATGCACAAGGTAAGCAAGAAACACAGGCAAACAAACCAGCAAACACAAACATACACACACATGCTCATTCATTCATACAATGGATACTGACTGAGCACCTACAATGTGCTAAACAATAGGAATATAGCAGTAAACACAATACAAGTTGTCTCTACTCTCTGGATTTGCACAGGCAGGTCCAGACAGTAGGGCACTGGCCCCATATGCCAGAGGTGGTGGGTTCAAACCCAGCCCTGGCCAAAAACTGCAAAACAACAACAACAAAGAGAACATATACAAATGACAAATTAATATACATGCCAACAGGGGTGGTGAGATGCATAAGGATCATGAAGGGTGTGGTGAGTTGTGTGGGAGCCCCTGAAAAAATATGTGTCCATGTCCCAAACCCGTGACTATGACCTTTGGGGCAGTGCCTGCAGCTCAGTGAGTAGGGCGTCAGCCCCATATACCGAGGGTGGTGGGTTCGAACCCAGCCCTGGCCAAACTGTAACAACAACAACAAAAAATAGCCGGGCATTATGGTGGGCACCTGTAGTACCAGCTACTCGAGAAGCTGAGGCAAGAGAATTGCCTAAGCCTAAGAGCTAGAGGTTGCTGTGAGCTGTGACACTGCCACAGCACTCTACCGAAGGCAACAAAATGAAACTCTGTCTCTAAAAAAAAAGAAAGAAAGGGCTCAGCGCCTGTGGCT